TGCGCGTCTCGGTGAGGTTCCAGCGCCTCGCTGGGGCCCACCGCTGCCGCGCCGCATGGTGGCGTCTCGGATCGCCGCTCGCCTGCTCCCACCAGAGTCGACGGCTGCCGGCGAGACCAAGGAGGACAACCCGGCGGCCGCACCCGACCGGACGGCGACAGCGGCGGCGATGGACGTGGACAGCGGCACCGCCGGAGAGTGGCTGCTGCGCTTCGACGGCGCCTGCCGCGCCAACCCAGGACCCGGCGGAGCTGGTGCAGCGCTGTTCAAGCCCGACGGCTCCGTGGTGTGGACGTGCTCCCACTACATGCCGAGCAGCAGCGAAACGAACAACACTGCCGAGTACTCGGCGCTGCTGCTCGGGTCGAGAGCCGCTGCCGACCACGGAGCGACGTCGCTGCGGGTGGAAGGCGACAGCACCCTTGTGATCCAGCAGGTGCGCGGCATCTTCGCGGCGAGGAACGCCGTTCTACGCCGCCTCCGCGACCAAGTCAAGGTAGAGCTCGCGCGGGTGGGGAGCTTCTCACTCCACCACATCGACCGCCAAGCGAATGCCCATGCCGACCGCCTGGCCAACCGAGCCCTCGACCTCCGCCGGACGATGATGGAGTGCGGCGCTCACACGGCAGGCGACGGCTGTACGAACACGACGCTGGACCCTATGCCCGTGCTGCCGCCCCAGCCGACACCCCGCGCTCCGCCCCCGACACCCGCGGCCGACACCAACATCGAGATGCAGGAGCCGGAGGACGAGGATCTCGCCGACATCGACGACGGCGAGGTCTATGCAGCCATGCGCATCGGGCCGGACGCAGTTCCGCAGCGTCGACCCCGCCTCCGACTACGCCAGCTCACCGAAGCCGAGGACGACGCTGCCCGCGAGATGGTGGAGCGGCTTGGCGCGACGCTGGCGGCCAAGATCACTGACGCCAGTGACTGGGAGTCGGCGGAGGGCTACATCACAGCCCTCCCGCACCTCCTGTACGACAAATTGCAGCCGTACTCCCAGGCCCAGCGACGCCCCGAGCCGCGTCCCCAGCGTCAGCGACAGCAGCGGCAACAAGGCGAACAGCGACGGCAGCGCCCGCTGCACGACCAAGGGCAGGACCGCCGCAGCCTGGAAGGCGATGCACATGAAGACAACGAGCGCGATGGCGACGCCAGTCAGCAGGACTCGGCGCGACGGAGGCAGTGCAGGCGCCGCGGGCGCTCTGGTGCAGCGAAGCGGCGACGTCGCCGCCGCCCGCCGCGGGTGACTCGACACCACCGCGAGCACCGCCTCGACGAGGCCCTGGACGATCTCCACGCCGTGGAGCAGGCTTCGCCCGGAGACCGCACGGCTGTTCGCCGAGCCCGCCGCCGCGTCGGCCGCGTCAACTCGGCCATCGACCAACAGCACCTGCGTCACCGGTTCGACACGGACGAGAAAGCCTGCGTCGAAGACATCCTGGCCAAGGCACGCGCGCAACAGGAGACGCCAAGGACAGCAGCCTCCAGCGCCGGCACCGCATCGGACCCAGCGGCGCCAGCGGCAGGCGCCACAGACGACGGTACCTGCCCCATTCCGGGCGATGAGCTCTGGCGGTACTTCGACGGCGTCAACACACCCAGCCAGGAGTTCGCTCCGGACGCCCCGGCGGGTGCTGCCTTCCGCTCCGCTATGACCCACCTGCCTGCCGCGTCGAGGTTCAGGGAGCTGCTCACGGAGGCGCCGACACAGGACGATATCGAGTCACAGCTGCAGCACGCCCACGGCACCTCCAGCCCCGGCCTCGATGGCGTCGGCTATGACGTGTACCAGCACTTCGCCGCGCAGCTCCTGCCCGTGCTCGCCACCGCCTTCCAGAAGTGCTGGGAGGCGAAACGTGTGCCCCAGAGCTGGAAGCTCGGGGTGGTGCGGCTGCTGCACAAGAAGGGCGCGCGCGAGGACCCGGCGAACTGGAGGCCCATCTGCCTCCAGCAAGCCATCTACAAGCTCTACACGGGGGTCCTCGCGCGGCGGCTGGTACGGTGGCTGGACGCGAACGACCGCCACGCCCCGGGGCAGAAGGGCTTCCGAGCGGTCAACGGCTGCGGGGAGCACAACTTCCTCGCGGCCACGCTCATCGACCAGGCCCGCCGCAAGCGCCGCCAGCTCTACGAAGTCTGGTACGACTTCCGCAACGCGTTCGGCAGCGTGCCGTTCGCGCTGCTATGGGATGCACTCGCGCGGCTCGGCGTCCCCGAGGACTACGTCACCATGTGCAAGGGGCTCTACGAGAGCGCGGCGTTCGTCGTCGGGAACGCCGCCGACGGCACAACGGCCCCGATCTCGCTGCGGGTGGGAGTCTTCCAAGGCTGCCCGCTCAGCCCACAGCTCTTCAACGCTGCCATCAGCCCGCTGCTCTTCGCGCTGAAACGACTGCCGGCCACGGGAGTGCCGCTGTCGGGCGATGACTGCCCCGGTGCCTCGGCGTACGCCGACGACCTCAAGATCTTCAGCGGCACCGAGGACGGCATCAAGCGACAGCACGCGCTCGTGGCCGACTTCCTCCGCTGGACCGGCATGGCGGCCAACCCCAGCAAATGCTCCGCCATGTCGATCCAGCGCGACCGCCGCGGCGTGCTCAAGGCGGACGACCTCAAGCTGGAGCTGGACGGGTCGCCGATCCCCGCGCTGTCCATGAGCGCCTCGTACACCTACCTGGGGATCGGCGACGGCTTCGACCACACACGCCGCCGCGTCGAGCTCGCGCCCACGCTCAAGCAGCTGAAGGATGACGCGACAGCGCTGCTCCAGTCGGGCCTCGCACCGTGGCAGGTGGTGAAGGCGGTGAAGACGTACCTCTACCCTCGGGTGGAGTACGCGCTTCGCCACCTCCGCCCCTTCCAGCAGCAGCTTGCGGGCTTCGACCGGCACCTCGCGCGAGGCCTCCGCCATCTCCTGCGACTGCCAGCCTCCGCCACAGCGCAGTGCTTCTACGCACCGGTGTCGCGCGGCGGACTGGGCCTACTGCCGCTGACGGAACTGCACGCGGCGCTGCAAGTCGCGCATGGGTGGCAGATGCTGAACTCCAAGGACCCTGCCATCCAGCGCATCGCGCGCGTGCAGCTCCGGCAGATCGCCGACGCGCGCCACCGGCTGGACACTCAAGCGTGGGCGGGCCGCGAGGAGGAGCTGTGCGAGCTGCTGCTCAACTCGCAGCTCGGGACGTCGCCCGACGCGCCGCCAAAGCGCCGCAACGGCGACATCGGCTCGCTCTGGGTCGACGTCCAGCGCCACCTCCGCACGCTCGGCCTCCAGTTCGCGACCGCGCCGGCGTGCGCCGACACCGGCACGGCCGCGGCCACGCTGCAGCTTCGCGTGCCGCACCACGACAAGTGGCTCGACCACCGCACGGTCCTGCGGCACGTGAAGCTGCACATCAAGCACAGACACTGGACCAAGTGGGCGGCCATGCGCGACCAAGGCAGAACGGCACGCGCGCACGGCGGCGTCGGCAGCAGCTTCCTCACGCGGCCGCGAGGCATGTGGGAAGCTGACTATCGCATCGCGGTGGCCGCCCGCTTGAACCAGCTCGACACGCACAGTGTGCTCAAGCGCCGGCGCCTCCGGGCCCACGACCGATGCAGGCAGCCGGGCTGCTCCCGGGTGGAGACGCTGGCGCATGTGCTCAACCACTGCCCGGGCACCATGGATGCGGTCCGCGGCCGCCACGACGACGCACTCAAGACCATCGAGCGTGCGCTCATCGCGTCGTCGTCGGGCGACCGGCAGGACCGCGTTGAGCTCCGGGTTAACCAGACCGTGCCCTCGCTCGCTGGCCCCGCGCTACGGCCCGACCTCCAGCTGTACAACCACACCAAGAAGACGGTGGCGGTGGTCGACCTGGCCGTGGCGTTCGAGGAGCAGGCGGGCGAGGACCCGGACAGCTCAGCGCTGGCCCGCATCGCCGCACACAAGCGCGCCAAGTACGACCGCATCAAGCGCCACCTCGAGCGCCAAGGGTGGAAGGTGCACCTCTCGGCGCTCGTTTACGGCTCGCTTGGTGCGGTCGCCGGTGGCAACCGCTCGGTTTACACCGAGCACCTGGGGCTGCTCAAGCGAGATGCGAAGCGGCTGGACTGGCAGCTATCTGCCGCGTGCATACAGTCCAGCCGTGACGGAGACCGGGGGGACTCCGTCGCGCTCCGGCCGCCGCTAGACGGCAACCAGGCCCATTGCGGCCGACAGGGCCACACCCATGTAGGGAACCGCCCTCGGAAACCCTGCACCGGCTCACATGGTCCGACCCTCCGATTGGTTCAACCCGTACACCAACTACACACCAATTAGGGACTCCCAGGAGTC